TATATATTAGAAAAGAGTACGGTGTTATTTAGCCGAAAGCGCTTTCTGCTTCCTGCAAACGACGAGGTCGATTCGACTTTAGCTATCTATTTGAAATGGTTTCTAAAATGAAGACGGATATAAAGGAAACGGTGTAATGTTTGCAGTGGTATCGCAACAAACGTGTAAATATACGTGATTTGGCGAAACGAGAAAAAAAGTGTTACTCTCTCTTTTCGAATGTAGATGTCTTCTGCAGTTAGTGTTGTAGAGCACTTGTCCGTGTCATCTTTTTTTTTTTCTATCTATTTTGGAAACATGTATAAGCATTTTGTTCCAGCATGTTTTTTTTTAATTAGTGCCATTAGGAACACGTAATCGTAACACCAACGTTACACAAACATTTATAATTAAGCGTGCAATTACGTAAACACTGTTGGCACTGAATTCCTGCTATTTCTTCCACGATATTTTCGTATTTCTCTAGTATTACGCAACGTAAGTAGGTATCACTTTAGCACAACTCAAAAGTTGTGGTATGGTAACTAATTGATAAGTCTGGTTAATTATGTTGGTAGAAACAGCCGACGATAGTAGAATCACGCAATGGTTAATAAGAAAAAGGATAAGATCCTCAGGTGCTAAACATAATATTAGTTAGAATTAAATAAACGAAGTTATACCTTCACAGGCGTCTGCGAGTTAGCCGCTGTTAGAACTTAAGATAGCTAGTCTGGATCTAAATTTTTTTTATCTAGATCAGTATAGTAGAGGAAGTTTGGCTGTGGAACGGTTGATCTACGAATTCACCCCTGCAATGCAAAAGGCATTACGTCGATGAGACAGCCTAATAGAATTAGCTTCGTCTTTTGGTGGCGATGTGAGGCTCAGAACTGTACTTTTAAATCGCGGAAATTGAGGGACCCGACATCCTACTGGGAATGATCAAATTTTGGGCATTTTTAGGATCTTTCAGACGACGTTTGAGATCTACCTTGATGCCAGGTAATGATCGCTTGTTATTCTTACTAGGTTTTCGCTCGCCATTCTCCAGCTTATATTGATAACATTGATTGAGACAGACAAGCTAAGTATCACGTTAAGATCACATTCTGCTTTTTTGCTTTTTCTGCTTCCGAAGGCTTGAAAGGATTTAATATGCTACGTAGCGGCTAATATTAGTTGCTACATTATTGTTATAAGAGTTTTCATGAGTACGATGCTGAGGTTTCGATTGACCTTTTGGTCCTTTATTATTAAGTACCTACTTGGTCCCTAAGAATTATAAACTATAAATAACCTTTGAATATATTGCCTAACAGTCGGTAGATAATAAAACTATGATTGCAGAATATCTCAATATTTTTTTAAACTTTTATAATAGCGATAATAGTTTTATTAAGACTAAAATTTAAAGTAATCATGTTTTCTTTAGCAAAGATACTCGCTATCGTTTGCCTGCGCCGCTTGGTGGAATCCGTTTCCTTTGAAACCCGTACATGCCATGCACTCAGGCGAAGTTAAACTTGCGTTATTCAATCATGACAGCCAATAAGTAATTACTTTATCCGTATTTCAAATTTGCGGAGTTGAATTATTTCTTCTTCAGTTCTTCAACGCCGCTCAGCACATGAGTGCGTTATAAATAATTGATTAAGCGTTGCTTTAGACAGAAGGCCCCTTCTAGCACGAAATGAGTCCCTACGCTTGTTTTGAATTTGCGAAGATCATCAGTTGAATAAGCAGATATCATTAAGGGGATACGCGTACGCTATAACACCATAGCAGCAAACGAAGCCTTGTGTTTCTCCACTTGAACAACTTCTTCTTTGCGTCACTCCCTGGCGCTAGCCGTCACGACAGAGTTGTTCTCTGATATCCGTGAGTCCTGCGAGCATACGGTGGCACTCCGCGACCCAGAACACTCACGGCCCATATCAGCGTAGGCAGTCACTCCCGATTCACAGCTATCGTCGCTGAACGCAGCCGTCATCTTCGGCTATACTGTCCTCCTCTCCAGAAGAGCGGCGCCACGCGCATGGCTGACCGTTCAGCAGCTCATTGTTCTATGCGGTGCTATTCAACGTCATCGTGCTACCCCCAAGCACAAACGATAGTTTCCGTTGGCTGTCAGCCACTGTGACACTGCTAACTGCTTACCCATAGACTACAATGCGCGTCTCGTATGTGTTATCCACGAGTGATCGGACCAAAGCAGCGGACAAATGAAAGCCGCTAGCTTCGTCGTGCAGGCTTCAAAGGCGATAATACGGTACTAGCTAGCAGGGCTAACGCCAACGGCGGTAGCCAACGGTCGAATACCTCTTGACAGGCGGGTCTTACCCGCAATATCGCGCGACAAGAAAGAGAAACAGGAAAGGCAAGAGAAGAACGTCAGCCAAAAAAAACAGTAATACACTAATGGAAAAAGACGGTTGGTTGAGACAGGTTGACGGACGGATGGATGGACAAGCAGACAGACAGACAGACAATGCTCAACGGAGAATAGCAGAAACTTCACCACAGTATCTGAGTGAAAACTGAAAGTATGAACTAGTGTCCCGCCGCATCTCTCACAGCCATAAAGGAGCGCGCGGCGAAAAGAAAGAGAAGCCAGCCTTCACTGGAAACAAAAAGACAGCAGAAAGCTATTTACGCAAAGCGACAAGCTTTTCGTTTCTCCATCTTCAGCGTGTATGGTCGTGCGCGCCCCTCCATCGCCCCGTTTAAGCTAGTTTGTGTCGCCGCGGTTGCTTGGTGTTGAAAGTCGTGGCCGTTTGCGCGTCGCGCTTCGCGCTTCGCTCTTTCGTCTTAGCGAAGTCGCAAAGCTAGACAAACAGACAGACAGACAGACGCACACACACGCACAGAAAGACCGAAAGAAAGACAAGCACACAAACTACGACAGCAACAACAAAACTCAATGTGTTCTTTGTAAATCTTGCGACGGCGGTATGAAGATGATACTAAGGGTGATGTCAACTGTTTAGCTCTATCTGCGCGTAGGTGTGTGACCCGCGAGGAGCTGGTAAAGACTGCAGACTATTGCTGAACCAGCACGACCACTCTTGTGGCTACGGCCGCGACCGCGGCCGCTGCTGTTGTGTGTACCAGCAGCCTTGATGTTGAACGCCAGCTGCATTGAGATTCTGATTGGCGCGCCCGTCGAACGGGACAGTTTGAGACACTTGGTAACCGCTAGACCAGCCAGTCAGTGTTGCCGTTACCATCACTAACAATCGTCATTTGCTGGCAAGGAAGGAGCACCAAACGCCGTGACTAGGGCAGACGAAATCGCCCACAGAAAGGCTATTGCCAGTCACTGCTGTCAGCGATTGCTGTGAGAATCAATGACCACTCTAGTGACGCTGATACGTCTACCTTTCACTTGTTGAGAATCGACAACTGGCGATTTAATTAGCGATACTTTTCAAATAGTATGTTTGTCTGCTCACCCGAAGGCCTGTGCACGTCTATATATCCTGTGTTTCGACAGAATTCCTAATCTGCTGACTACACGTACTATTGGTAATGGCCGTTTCTTCGGCACTGTTCAGGTGTTTTAGAACTGTGCGTGTTTCGTGTCGTTTGCTGTACCGTTAAGATGATCGATTTAGTTGTTTTAACGTATTTAATGTAACAGTCGACGAACTCTTACTAGGATAGGCTACAGACGTGGGAAGATCAAACAGTGGTATCGTGTGAAAGAAACAAAGAACCTATGATTCATATTGTTGCAGTGATATCGTGCGACGGAGAGCTCCGTCTTCCGTTATCACATTATCACAAACATTCACAGTCGTCTGCTGTAGAGCAATAACATCCTCCTATGAACGCGCGGATCAGCTGGTAAAGACCAGTGTTTATTTAATGTAGTAGATCTCCGAATTTGTGCTGTTATCGTCATTTAGTATAGAAGCCATTCAACGTCTACTGCTACGGCATGCGAAATTTAGGAGAGAAGATTCATTCCAGGAAAACTCCAGTGGGCTGGGTAGCATATTTGCCCACCGTTTTCTTTTAAACACAAATCTTTTATCTGTGTAAGCAGCAATCTCGAGTGGATAAGCAAGTTTGACGGTCTCGTTCTCCGCATGTGTCCTTTTCACGTAACGTCGCGCGAGTTCTGGCAAGACAATGTTAAATGAATACAACAATAAGAAGCGTGTTATTGTTTGATGGTTGCCATTTGTTCGGCTTTGTTTGAGTCGAGTGCCGGTCCTTCGCTAGCCATCGTCGCTAATGTCTGGCGTCCGTTCACCTCTCTACGGTAATCTCCGTCCGCTGTCTCTGTGCTAATGAACTTGCATTACCAGTTCGACTGTTGCACGTAGAAGCTGCTTTGCTGGCTCTAATTTAAAGGTGAAAATTAAGCCAACTATGGCGGTACGGATGCTGGCGGAAGTGGCTGCCGTCGATCGTGCTAAACAGATACGTCATTATTAAAATTTTCACCAAAGCATATCAGCTGTATTGTTCCAGGTGGGAACGGCTGAATGCCAGGAAGATCGAAATCATGAAACGCTCTAACATTTGGCAGCACGAGGAATCACCATAGCGACGTGAGGTACGCAAGCTTGAAAATGATTTTAATTGCACCGCAATAGATAGTCAAATACGGCGTATCGCATAATGTATTATATATTGTTCCACGGAGCACTCAGACAGACAACGGTCACGGTAGCTGTTACGCACGACACTGCCTCCATTGCGTTCTCTGTCAACGGATTTTAGTAAGCGCACAATACTAGTAACTGACGTCTAACGCTATTCACTCTCCATCAAAGTTGACTATGAGAAAGCTAAGGAAACACAAGGCTCGGACCGCTTCGATTGTTTTTGGCGACTAACGTCATATCGTTGTTTCTGTACATCGACTTCTCGTTAGGCCACAGATGTTGCCACCATTGTTTACAGCATCGACAAAAGAACTTAGATCAAATAACGAGTAGAGACGAAATTCTAAACGAAATTTTGTTGCCAAAGGTTAAGTCGTACTTGTTCCTAGCCCAGGTCGTTACTAAGTAGCGAGTTTTGTTATTACGTTACGTCTGGGAGCGCGCGTGAGCATTGCCGTGTGAACCACCGTTACGCTGATGTATTGAGCTGTGTCTGTTAATACGGATACCTATCGATCGCCGACAGTTTCCGCCAGTGCATGTATTGTGATGTTATAGTGTTGTCAGTGACGGTGACGTTGATAGACGAGTGCATTAGTCAAAGCTAGATGTGATTTGTCACATTATGAATTGAATTGCCGTGGAGTTCCGTGTCATCAATCTGCGCGCGCCAGTTGTCAACGTTTATTAGCAGCTTGCTGGGTGTGCATTGGGTGTATCGCTAGTCACTGGCTATAACAAAAACAGCCACTTTCCCGCTAGCTTAGACATTGTTGCCAATGCACACAATTGGAATAGGGGGGAACTTTGTGAGCTAGCAGCAGGAAGAAATCAACTACACCGAAAGTTACCGCTGGTGTCATGTCCCTCATGAAGTTTCTCACGTTCGGAACAGGTCAGTCCTCCATCACAAATAAAAGCATGCAGTCATGTTGTATACAGACACACACACACACACACACACATACTTACGCACATACAGACACACATACACACACACACAAACACAGACGCGCACACACACAGACATATACACACACAGACACATAGACACACACACACTCAGATACACACAGACACACACACACACACACACACACACACACACACACACACACACACACACACACACACACACACACACACACACACACACACACACACACACACACACACACACACACACACACACACACACACACACACACACACACACACACACACACACACACACACACACACACACACACACACACACACACACACACACACACACACACACACACACACACACACACACACACACACACACACACACACACACACACACACACACACACACACACACACACACACACACACACACACACACACACACACACACACACACACACACACACACACACACACACACACACACACACACACACACACACACACACACACACACACACACACACACACACACACACACACACACACACACACACACACACACACACACACACACACACACACACACACACACACACACACACACACACACACACACACACACACACACACACACACACACACACACACACACACACACACACACACACACACACACACACACACACACACACACACACACACACACACACACACACACACACACACACACACACACACACACACACACACACACACACACACACACACACACACACACACACACACACACACACACACACACACACACACACACACACACACACACACACACACACACACACACACACACACACACACACACACACACACACACACACACACACACACACACACACACACACACACACACACACACACACACACACACACAGACACACACACACACACACACACACACACAACACACACACACACACAAACACACACACGCATACACGCAGACACAGACACATACACACAGACACATACACACAGACACAACACACAGACACACACACACACACACACACACACACACACACACACACACACACACACACACACACACACACACACACACACACACACACACACACACACACACACACACACACACACACGCACGCACACACACACACACACATTCATATATTATTGGTGGACCCTGACAGAATAATAAAAGACCTTAACAAAGTTTTGTTGTTAACGTTACACAGGGGACGGCCAGATTACATTGCCAGCGGTGATACTATTCAATATACGATCTCGTCTTTGACAGAGCAGAAATGAAACTCTACTCGGTTTCTCCGCATGAAGCTATGTAATCTTGCCATTTGTTACTACATAGTTCTTCTATGAGGCTTTTGATGTGTGATTTACGCTTTCGGGCAGCTCTTAATCAGAGTTCTGCCCACGCAACTGGTTTTGGTAGTAATATTTTTTATGAATTTCGCTTAATACTGTTGAGTTTACAAACTGGTAAACATTTTTTGGGACAGACATTGTATAACACATTCAGTCGTATGGACGAAGTTGCCCGTAAAATATTTTTAACTCTCTTGGTATTAGTTGATAGTGTTTTTAGGATTGATATCGGTTGATTTTCCATTGAAATTTAAACCTATTTAAACTGATAGAAAGCCATGGCAAGCAGATGTTTCAACGGACACGGCCGTCAAACTCTTGCGCCAGCCGTGGCAACTCCTTGTCTAATTAAAGCTAATTATCACCGGATGTATCCCTATAAAAGGCTATAATGTATCTATATTACTGGTTACAGTGGTCAGGTCAGTCACTGATGTCCGATTACTGCATCCTAATAACAAAGTAGAAACTTGGCAAAAAATTTAATCGTGTTTAGGTTATTGGAAACACGGACAATATATAAAATGGATGGAAGGAAGATTTAAATATCATTAATATAAGTACTTAACGAAACGACGTTACATGTTCAACCAAGAGCTGGATCGGGTGTTTCTTAATCCTTTAAGTTCACGAAACTTAGCATTGCGGTCCACCTCTTAAGAACAACGCTTTTTCTCCGCAACGAACGCGGTGCGGTGATATGACAACGCAAACCCTGCGAAACTCATGCTTTTATCAAGACAGTGACAAGCTTCTAATTACGCGTAGATCGAGGTGCAATTTTATCAAAATGCTAAGCATTGCTTAGCGTTTTCTAAGAATTAAAAATAAGAAAACATTTACAACATGCCGTTCAATGAAGCTGCTACTTCTCAGAAGGCTCCCGTAAGATGGTGACATGGACCAAAACATTATCGTGATGTAGCCGTTCATGGTCGTTACTAGATCACCTAACCCTATATATCATTTGAAGCAACTACGCATGCTCATATTAGTTGCGTTCAGAGAACACTTTTATTAAAAGTGTTCTCTGAACCCCATATCGATTTATGAAGTGGCGAATACATAGGCTTACTTTCAGCGGTTCGAAGGACTCATGCACGGAGCGCTTCCTAGCATTTTCCTTGCATTTTTATGATCAAATCTAGACCGACTTCAAAGTTGCTCGACCTCGAGCTGTGTCTTGATGCGGTACGATTGCGGTACTCTTTTGCTTGCATGGAATAGCGGTAATTGTTCCATTGCAATATTTTTGTTGCGTTTTGCTCCCGCGTAGGTCGTGACCTCTGTGAAATTACTTTGTTTCCGCACTTCGTTGATGATCTTCTTTTAGTTGTTCAACTGGGTTTTCCGGCTTCGATTGACCTGTAATTTTGCTACTATAATCTCGTTTCTTCAGTGAACCTGATTATCTCACGGTAGTTATTGTTTTATTGCCGGATAGAACTGGGCTTAACTTATTCTTAATTATTAAACCGATGGGCAAACTAACCCAAGTAAATACTGAGAAAGCGTATTTGCAAGCATCTTAGGCTACCTTTTCAAAAATCATCCTTTGTGTCAATGGCAAAAATCAACAAATTTATTCTACTTATATATTAAATATACTATATAATTATTCATGGCATTTATTTTTAAATGTCGCAAATCAAATTTAATTATCGTTACTGTCTAATACTCATGTACTAAGACTTATTAATTTATTTGTCTTCATTGCACAACTAATTACGGTGAACAGTATATATACATGGTCCACTTTAATGAGACAGTGGGCAAGCATTATTGACAACGCGTGAACCTCAGCCGATTTGCTTGAGTTCTTCGGTGAAACGCTACAATTTAGTACAATTCAGGTATTGAGTTCCTGCCAGACTAATTGAAGTTTGAAAACCTTACCAAGCGAGCTATGAAGAAGATATGTTGCAGCTTCGTTGCTTGATTGATTTCATAATGCAACGTTCTATGGCAATGCTGTATCACGGTAAACTCGGCCATAAACTTAGCATCGACTAAACGGTCTTAAAGGCTAAGATAGGCGCACTTGGCGAATAGCACCATTTAGATTCGTATAGCACTTGACAGACAGTAGATAGTCATTTGAAAACATTTTCTCTACGATGAACGGTATATTATTGCCTATTTTTTTTTCTGGAAGACGATTTATTGTTGCTGATAAATTTTTGAAAAGATACGCATTATTTTTATTTGTATTAAATAGCCGATTGTTTCTGGGACCATAGATTGCTCGAAGACTGTTCATGCAACCCATATCTTTATAATGTAACCGGTAAGTGGCGATCGATGTACATGTAAATGTACAGTATCTATAGTGTATCATTGAATACCGGAAGGTGTTTCGACCAAAAGTCTTGTCGAAATCTAATGACTTGCTAGTGGGTAAGCGATCTTACCATATTAAAGTCAAAATTTTAAGCATTACGAAGACGTTCTAAACCGCTCATTCTTTCGGATTGTTTCGTATAGCATCTGAATGTTTTACATTTCGATGAAAATTGCTAGCATCAACGTAAACAATTGTCTTTAGCGATTCACAAGAAAAATCAAGCCTTTCCCAAAGGTTACCTTGTGGAACAACATGGAGAAATGTCAAAAGGCCCGTGTTGGAGGCTCTTTGACCTGTAAACATCCAGTTTAGGTTAAGAGACTAATATGATAAGAATATATACAATAAGAAGAAGAAGAAAGAAAGAAAACAACAAGAAGTTTAAATTTCCTAAATTGGAAACATCTTAAGAGTCCACTAATTATAGTAATGTGAAATGTCATATATTCAGGCAGGTTTCAATCAATGCTTAACCTTAGGATGCTTGTTTTACCAGTTGGTCTTGATTTCAGTGATTATGACATGTTTGGGGAAAAAAATTAACTGCTACTTGTCCTATGAGCCTAAAATTAAGACGATAAGAGATTTGAATGGAGAAGTCCACTAAAGAGTTCGCCGCAATTTACGTGCTCTCTAAAATTATGGCATACGCAACAACTAGCTGATATCGTGCATTATTTTAGGAAAATTGCGTGCCTAGATATTAGAGATGCCTAGATGAAAAGGAATCACATTAATAACTCGTATTAATAACTCATTCAGTTCTTGCAATAAAACCATTCATAGGCCATCGGTCCCTCTTCATACATATTCGTGTCTTCTACCGCTTTCCTAGCCAATTTTCATAGGGCAATCATGGTCACTTTGCACACCACTATCGTCTTGGTAAGCTAGTCTTAGATCAGCTGATAACAGCTGATCTAAGACTAGCCGCGCAAATCGCTACGTCTGCATCCTGGATCACCTTCTAACTTATTCGTATAGTCAAACATATGATTTGATTCCTCACTCTAGAAGCCAGCTGGACCCTGTGATGTGGTCCGGATCTAGCATGGGGGCACTTTTAGTTTACGGATATGTTCCTCAGAGCTAAAGGTTGTCTACGCACACTTCTTAGGACCTATAGACCTTATTAGCGTCAGCAAAATTTCTTTTTTGGCAAAGGAAAACGAACGAACGAATGAAACTGCGGCCAGCCACAATGGGTACAGCGTGCCCTCTGGGCTCGTAATCCAATCGCTGGCTATTCATCACTATCGTCATATTAAACGGTGTTCTTTTCTGTCGAAATTGCTAGTTTGTCGAGATTGCTAAGTTTAGCGATAAGAGTAACTTGCCAAAAGTAGTTTTTTTGCCAATACAGCAGACCGCAGAGAAGGTATCTATTGCCAATGCATTCATACATATCAGAACGAATCGTGAAGTAAATTCCGTGTTATCGTGTACTAGAGTTCGAATAGGACATGGTCATGCACTGAAAATTGGAAACTATTGGTCGGTCATTCGAAGCAGGGCCTATCCATGAGATAGTCAACAGTTGACCGAAACCCATTAATAATAACTCAATAGTTAGCTATTTCGCCCCTATTTGGAAGTTTACTACTCGCTTTTTATCTATACTACCAAATCCTAGTAATATTAGGTTTGCTTAGACGGAAGCATACTTAGTGCTGAAGTATGCTTGCTTGAGCCAATTACTTAGTCCTTCATATTGAAGATAAAAGAATATAACAACTTCTCAAATGTGAAATCGTTGCATTCGCTACCTTGTAAACAGTAAAACTAATCCGACTGGTCGCACTCGACGGATAAACGGAAAATCGTAGTTGTCACGTGTTGTGATATTCCCATGCCGGTATGGTGCGGTTCTCAGTGGATCTGCCCCGTAGGAGCACAGTGCTCGGCGATCGCCGCCAAAATAAATCTGGTCAACGAATAACATCCCATTGATTCCGCTTACCGCTACGATTCTGATTACAGAGCTTTGCCGGACTTGAATGAAAAGTAACTAGGGTTTTTCGTTATGATATTATAGCGGACATTTTTGACGTGAATCTTCAACAAGTTTCAGGTACTCGGTCTCCCCTGTCCTGTATTACATTACTTTAGAAGGGTGGCTGACAAAATTGAGAGGTCGGGTAATCAGCAGATTCGATCCTCGTCTTCATATAAGACTTGCACGGTCGTGTAGTTCCATATACTATGCTCAGAATTTGTTCATGTAACAACATGGGAGACATTGGAAATTATAATCTGACCTCTTTCTTATTTTATAGTATAGGGGTTTGCGGGTACGCTAGTAGTAACACAGGACCTGGAACTTCAGTTCGACACGTAGATACTTTTACACGGAGATCTTATATACTATAGCATATGCAATTAACGAAATATCAAATACCATACTTTTTTGGAATACAAGTGTATACGTCCATGCGACACCAATCGCTTATATGGCTCTGCAATATCAATAGTATTGTCCACTTCCAGGCAATACCGACGACCCGACGGAAGTTCGTGATGTGCGCCTGTCGTTCTATAGAGAATGTAGGATCGTGACGGAAACGGAGGAGTTGGTTTTGTACGAGCTTCCCGACGTCCCTGAAAGAGAGCACAAGAAAGAAAAAGATAACAAAGAAATGACATTGGCAAGCTGCAGAGCTGGACTCCTCACTAACATTCGTGATAGTAGCAAGGAACGGGAAGAAAAAAAGGATCGACCGAAGGAGGAGGTCAAACCCCCAAAATTCGATCTCATCTTCAGAAACCCCAAAGCGAAAGATTGTGGCCTCAGGTTAGATGGCACAGTGCCCCCATTCCTACCAAGAGATTCTGTCGAAGAACGATGCATCATGTTCCATTTTTACACGCAGTACTGAAATACCTACTATTGATAGCATTTTTATTCTGCGTTCAGTTAGATGAAATGCAGTGTTGCCCTTAGCTTCGTTGATATGCGATTAAGTAGTTTTTTCAAAATGCTGTATCTTGTATACCCCTAGCGCCGCTTCTCTCTTATTATAGATTCGACTGTGGATTTAGTGACACAGACGCGTAATATAGTTCGAATATTTTACAAGTATCCTTGGTAATTGGCTTTCTTTTACTGTATATTTATGGCACGTAGAAAAGCAGTGTAAATTGGGTGGGGTTAAGGCAGGTGAGGTAAACGTAGCGAGGTGCGTTCTCGGTTATGCTTGCTGTACAAATGTTATCGTTATGACCGTAATACAATTTTGTTCTACTATTTTACCTACGATAGAAAAAAAAAAAAAAAAAAAAAAACGGAAAAAAGATGTTCGTACTTATACCGCTCGTTCGACTTCAGCAGTAGTGATCGATTAACCTAAAATCGCTCTGGATCTGGTGTTTCGTTATTGTCTTTATAGTTTACGGCGTTTTGAGAAAGAAGAAGATGGACTCAGACTTTTTGAACAGTTTCGAGAGAAAATCTTTGTGCTGGTTCGGGCAACTGACTCGTTCCCCGGTAGAGACCTCATGGGCAAATGGATGCACTCGGCGGTAAAGCATCCGTCATGGACAATTGCGCATCTGGCAGCCGTGCACAATCAGCTGGACGTGCTGAAACATCAACTCGTCGCGAGGTACATGATCTTGCAAAAGTATACTCCCAATTGTCAGCTACTCCTAGTTACGAAGGGATAAATTAAATAAACTAACTGGAAAGTGGACGTTGTAGATATCTAGGTAAAATTCCGTCCACTATTACTATCGCTGATATTGAAGCCGTACAATTATTAGTAACTATAATATAATGCTTCAATTTGAAAACTAATGACATTAATTCTAATCGGTCCACATGGATAGTGCTTGAAGCAAAAGCTTTGAACTTTTCTTTGGTAGGTTTTACATGTTTTACTCCAACCTTTGAAGTACTGAATCGACGCTGCTGAACCTACGGACGCGTTACTGAACATCGTTGACGGCAGGCAGGCTGAGCTCTTTAATTCCTGTAATAGTTCAAAATAAAAGAAAAGGTCCATTTGAGTTTTTCAACTGGATTTTAGAAGGGTACGCTATAAGGGCTCGTCAGTAATTGGCCTTTTCTATTTCTAGACGCTTAGCTTCGGATAGCCTTCGGATAGCGAAGGGAGATCTTAGCTAATCGATGTCTAGCTTTGTGAAAGTATGATCGTTTTCTTATAAGATGATATGATTAGTTTGATAAAAAGTACTTCATCCTTTGAAGTCGGTTCAGCTTTTTCTTTTAACATAGAACAGCAGGCAAGTTACGTGTTGCCGTTCTTAGCAACGAGGTATAATAGAAAAAGAACGAGATTTCTATTTTGGAAACGATGGTTATTTATTAAGATTTCAAAAAGGACCCTCCGAATGCACCGATTCGAGCAAGCAGACGAACAGTAGTTTAAATCGTTGCGTTCGAAGAAAACGGGAAGGTTTGCGTTGTGCCAACACTGAGTTTCGTCTTCTATCGTGTTTCCTTTGACGGGGCAAGATCTTTGAAGAAGTTGCTAAACACATCACATCGGATGCCTGTCGTGCACGGTTACAAAACAAACGCATAGGACATGCATCAACACAAAGCGAATCGGGTGAAGGTCTGTCTAGCTTAACCCAGAGCAAATGTATTTTTCGCGAACTGTGTACTCGCTCTGGTCTGAACTCGTGTCTGTTGTGTTTAAGAGGGCTTGGAGCCATTTTGATCATTTGGAACCTATTTTGTGTGTTAGGTACCTAAACGAAGTGTGCGAGGAGGGTCGCACCCCGCTAATAATGGCTATCGAAAGCCTGAACACTCCAGTGGTGCAGCTCCTTGTCGACCAGGTAAGTACTGAGAGTTGTATTGCGTATGCTGTAGAAGAACAGTGCTGAATCTTATCAGACACGTAATATAGAGCAGGGCAGATAACGACGCTATATGTTGAAGTCGGCCAGTCAATAATTTACGTCTTTAATAATTTACGTCAATAGAACGTCTTTAGTCAAGCTTACCTCTATCTTTAGATCACTTCGAGTTCCTTGCGAATGAAAAGGGTACAGTTGTGATAAAGGCTCCTTCTAATAAATAACCATTCTCGGTCGAAAATGCGTCTACTCGTCAACTACATGCCCTTGGTAAATAAATGTGATAGCAATCTAGGTGGCCAGTACAGACGGGATGCCGACTATCTGGATTATGTGTATCAACATTTCGTATCGGAACGTCATGTGCGGACCCTATTCATTCTATACCTGTTCAATACAAGTCGGTAGGTCGTCTAATACGTAGACTAAAAAAATATCGAAATTTCTCATTGTACCTATTACCTACAATAGGCTGTAATGTTATTATTTTTCAGGGAGCTCGCGTCGATACAACAGACCATTACAATAACTCTCCATTTCACTACGCAATTAAACTTGAAAGTAAATCCCTTCTCGAGGTGAGCAGCGGTTACAGAATGTCCATGCAACAATGACGGAATAAGTTTTTAAGATGTTGGCATGAGTCTACAACTATATATTTCCCGTAGAAAGTACAATTTATACTGACAACACACTGTGTGTTCGATTGCAGATTATTTGTCGTGCTCAGGGCGCCTGTGTGGGAATGAACCAAAAAAATTACAAGGGCCAAACTCCGCTGCAGGTATCAATCACCCTTGCTGAAAATCATCTGTCGTCTGGTTTCTCATCTATAATAGAAATCAGCATTTTTAATGTTGTTATTGCTAGCAGTAACGAACTTAGTCAGGCCCCAATATCTAACACATAAACGAGATGATTTAGTTCGTAGCTCTCATCAAAGTGATGCTCAAAACCTTTTCATCTTTGTCGTCATTACAACTCTGTTTTGAGCTTTACGTCCAATATCGTCCCCAAGACGTTATATCGGACTGTAGGCGTTCAGTACGGGCGAAGGATCTATGCGCGGGTTCGAATCTAGAGCACGACGCTCTTCTCATCTCACTGTAATAGCTAATTACTTTTATCGTGCGATGCACGCATCCGCGATGCACGATACTCCAATTGCGTTATACGAGCATTTACTCAGGGTATCGCGTAACATAATTAAAAGTACAATATCGTGTATTTCCTTTGAGTACATTAGTCGACGTATTGTTCGGGTTGAAATCGGTAGTCTCGTACCTGTGACCTCTTTTACCCCCATGCTGTTAGCTAGCACGAATGAGGGCAAACGAGCACTATTTAAAGGGCAGAATGCAGTTTTAGTTGTGGATTGAACTTGGCAGTCCATTGAAGTATGCCCTTGGCCCGATTCATCTGTTCAGAGCAAGAGTACCTATTCATCGTCACGCGATCTGGTGGAGATGGACTAATTATTAGATCTACACATCATATAATAGATTTCTGGTACGATGGTTAACGATACAGCCCGTCAGGATCTAAGGCCAATGTTATCGAATCAGATTCAGCATTCGACTCATCAGAATACGTTGTGCCCTTTGACTGGACTCCTCTAGGCAGCGTGTATGATTGGTCTCACAGGTTGTGTGGAGCATTTGTTACGACAAGGAGCGGACGTCAATTCAGCATCCTTTAGCAAAAACAGTCAAAAGCTAGCAGGCAGGCAAGTACCATGGGTAGCTGCTATCAGCAGCGTTTCTATCCACCTATCATATAATGCACACAACTAATTGTGCATAGTCTTAATTTTTCCATGGACACGTTTTCTAATTTAGAGATAGAAATTTCGGAAAACGGTAATGACACTACCATGAATGGCACAGTGATAGGGAAGTGATGACGGATACACCCACCGATCTGCCACAAGTTGACTTTCTCATAACTAATAGATCATAGGCCTATAGTTGTACGAAGGTAAAAAAACGTTTGCAAATGTTTGATTTATGATTTTAGACACATGGGTGACCGAGAGCTGGGATTATACAGCGAAAGGCAGATGCGTAAAGGAGGCACTCCTCTTCACTGGGTCAAAACGAGATTAGTGAGTATCTACTGTCAGCTGTAACAGGTCAGATTCTCATAGGTAACAATGAAAATTTGCCTCATGTCTGTGTAGTCGTCTACGATCCAGTAGATGTAAAAATAAACACTTCTATTGCTTGTGGTTTCACAATAGCGAAGCGTCATCGAAAAAGCGTATAGTGAGTGAATCTGAGATGCAATTAGCGTTATCGAAATTTCAAGGTGTAACCCAATCAATGTCTGGATTTGACAACTCCTACGAAAATGCATGCACCTGTACGTTTAGCTATTTGTCAAAATAGATAAACATCGGCCATGGATTACTCTGCATATATTTGTCATATTAATCAACCTGTCACGGTATGACCCGGCAACCCAGGATAGCCTACTCCCTAAATGTATTGTTACCGCCCCACTTTCTTCCCATCAACGCAATTCATGTACTTGCTATTGCTACATACCCATGCGTCAACGGGCGTGTAGCAGTCGTCCGATGACAGCTGTCCGTTTCGCTGCTGAAAGAGAGAAAAACACGACGAACGTCCCACACAACACCGACTTGCCTAGCCTATAGGTAATGGTAGATCGCAAAGCTCAAATCCATTTCGTGCAATCGACATTATTCCCATCAAAGAAAAATTTGCCAAGCAATGATATGAGGTTCCTAGAGCAAAATAATAGGCTGATGGTTAGAAAACATTAAAGTCCGAGCTCGTTATTAAACAAAGGCCAGCTCGTGTGTGATGGCAAGCTTTACCAGTGTTTATTAATATTTGTTTATACGCCTCTACGGTACCACTGGCTGGCATTCACTTTGTTTAGAACCAGAGTATTGTCGTCATGAACAATGACAACGCACCTGTTCTACGATAGTTCCAAAAATTAATGCATTAAAATAGATCGCGTTATAGCGGTTCGTTGAACACAGGGACGCAAAGAATTTGTTTGCTTGATCGGCAGTTTGTACGAGCGGAAATATTCGAATAATCCTTTATAGAAACTTCCAACATTTACGGATTCTATCTACGAGGAAGCGAGAGGTATTTTTGAAATGCAGCTGCGCTTCATTCCACAGCTAATGGGATTAGTCTTTGTTTATTGAAGTCGTTAGAGCTGATGATTGATATCGGCTGTGACCTGAACGCCAGAAATTCGACGGGGGATACCGCATTACATGTTGTCGCTGACAAACGGAGACTGGATTCACTTATCTGGCTTCTCATAGAGGGTGCTGATGTCAACGCAAAAGGTACGATTTGGCGAGGGAAAATCAAGCATCTTCAAAAATGTTAAGAGCGACTGCAGTTAAGATAAGAACATTACCTGTAAAAAAAAATACCTATCCTGAATTGTTTTCTTCTTTTTGGTTTCACTGTTGGTACAGGTTCGTTAAGATAGCTGCCAGGCGATTTGGTACAGGATGTATCCTAACAGTGCACAGTGGAGGGATGTAACATGGTCCAACATAGGTCAAAGCATTTTGAACTTTTGTATTCTACGACAAAATACGTAAAATAACGTCGAGTAGCTGGGTCGGAAGGTGCTAATAAGGCGGTTGTCCAAAGGCTGCAATAGACCTATAGATTAAGACTCTGCTGTATGTGACTGCAGGTAATAATGACGATACCCCTCTTCATGTGGCAGTTCGGGGTTCGAATCCACAAAAGCCACAAGACGCATGGATGCTGTTTAAACAAAAAGCTGAACAGAAAAAGTCCTATGTATGGCCAAATACCCATGAGCAGAAGGTACGGTTCAAACATGTTATTTTAGTGTTTTTACCTTTTTAAATGTCAAACGCTACTGAGATAAGTCACATAATCTAGTTAATCCAAGCATATTTTTAGTATCCGAATAGAGCCTGTCATAGAATAGCAGTGTCTAAATGAATATTAACCGCTACCTGCGATCCTCAGATAGGCTTTTTTTTCTCAGCCAGTAGGTAACTTCAGTTCCGATTCGTGTGCGATTTATTTCTGAAATCGATCGAATCTGATTTATAATCATCTAACAAACATTTTCGCATTTATTGAACTTCGTAAGTACGAGACATTACCAATTATCCAAATACTTTTGGCATTTGGAGCCGATCCAAACGCCCTGAACAAGAAAGGGGAGACGCCTCGTCACATCGCGTCGGTGATGGCTTCAGACCTACACAATCCCCGTTTCGATCAACTACTATTTACGTTACATGCGATTGGCGCTCAAAGGTATTGTGGATATAATATATTCTTACTAGACCAGAAAAGCGAAAAACATTAGATTAATGGGGTAAAGTGGTGATTTTGATGGAAATGCTCATGAGCTAAGAGGATGTTCATACTAAAACAGACTTGAATCAGGCCATTAAATGTCGAGTAATTTCCTTGGTATAGAATGAGCGCTGTGCTGATTCATAAGATGCAAATTAGGTTCCGAAAAAAAGCGCACTTGGACAACCCATTTTGCTGAGGCTTTTTGTATATGTTTTTCGTACTTACTCGTTGCAGGTGTACATTGAAAACGTTTGAGTGTACAGAAGGTTGCAGTCCAAACGGAACGTTCGATGGGGTACCCCCTGCAGACTTCGGAAAAGATACAAACGAAAGTGCGTACTACTCAATTAGTCGTTTTTTTACGATGCTAAGCAACAGAACGACATAACCTAGGTAATTTATGAAAGGATTGTCTGAAACCAGTATTTCCTATTACTACTAAACCATCGTAAGTGTTACTTTTAAAAAGTAACAGCTAATCTAACCTAACCTAACAGCTAACCTAACAGCTAACCTAACAGCTAACCTAACCTAACCTAACAGCTAACCTAACCTAACCTAACCTAAGTGTTACTTTTAAAAAGTAACACTTGCGATGGTTTAGTAGAGTCACCCGGGGGGAGGGGAGGTGCTTTAATGTGTTTTTTGACTATAAATTATTGACTTTTTGTTAAAATAAATAAATTGAACTAACTTTGGTGTCCCTAATGATATGATCCTTCAATTTGTTTGCGCTCCGCGTTGACTGTAGAGTGACGTCGACGTCTTGAGTAGCTCTACTACTTGCCAACAAATTAGGGACAGTTCCTTTCCTTGTTTATGAGCCTAATGAAAAAGTATTTATCGTAACGTTTATTATTAATCATATCTAATCTATTTGTATCACTAACATTCGTAGTTTTTGACGGCCCTCTGAGTAACACCATACTGAAGAAGGCTGTGGAACGTAGACAAAATGCCAAACTTCGAAAAGACCAACGAAAACGCAGGTGTAGGGCCTTGGCGATCGATGGCGGTGGTGTGAAGGGTCTCATGACTCTGCGCGCCCTCAAGTGTCTCGAAGAAGCTGTAGAGGCGCCAATAATAGAGCTTTTTGATTGGATTATGGGGACGAGTGCTGGTGGAATTTCCGCTCTTTGTTTAGCATCCGGTACGTCTTAGTCGAATACATTTTATATTAATTACTAGAAGTTACCATACATGACTGTCACAGGCCACCGTCCTGATGGCCTAAACCGCGTAACTAAGTAAACAGTGTAAACAAATTTCTAAATAGTCGGGCTAATCTATAGGTCCTTTAAGACATGGCTGCGGTAAGCATTTTCAGATATGTCCCCATTTTAAATTCGGAGAAATTTATTTTTAATGCTACTGATAATTTGTATTACCTATATAAGTAAATGTGATAAATCATGCTATCAGACTGTAACTCCGTAATCGTGGCGCGATGCTGAAGTGCACCAGTTCCTCCAGTAGCCTTTATCAGTGAGCTGTAAAGGTTGCTGGCTGTCGTAAATCTCTCACACTTAAATGCCCTCTCTCTAACGATCTGTATGCTCAATTTCGGCAGGACGAACTTTGGACGAGGTATTTCGGTCAGCTTTTCGATTGAAAGAAAAGTTTATTGTTGGGCCTCGCCCGTATGATACTGATGGTGTAGAGGAGTTTCTGAAAAAAGAACTTGGTGATGATACGAAGTTCTCCGACATTAAAAAACCAAGGTATGTCCATACCGTGTTTCCCGACTTGGAATTCACAAAAGTTCCTTCATTCCGTTGTTTAACAACTGTTTAATTGAACATTCATGTGATAGGCGATAGACAAATATTGAGGTAATACAGCAATCAGGAAACTAAGGTAGCTTCCGGATGATCGGGTGTTTGCTGAGCCCCAAATAAAGCAGCATCCCCTTATCCTTATAGAATCGCTGTGACAGCCGTAAATGCAGAGAGTTGGCCGACCCGATTGAAGTTATTCCGCAACTATGACTCGCCCCGAGCCCTGCTCGATGGAACACCAGAACCTCCTGACAATGAATGGCTTTGGAGTGCCGCTCGCGCAACCGGAGCTGCGCCCACATTTTTCCGGTATGGGTTACAATTTAATGCATTTCGTACCCAATACTACTCTTTAATGCGAAAGCTTGACTCTATTATTTAGATAGGGAATTCTGTTTAATGTTAGTTCTAGCAGATAGACAACTGTACGCTTTTGTGCCGACGAGTAAAGTTTCCTACCTATTTTTCATGCAACGATTTCAGTCCATACAAAAAGTACTTGGATGGGGCCGTGATGTCAAATAATCCTACGTTGGATCTATTGACAGAGATAACTGAGTACAACGCTTCGATGGAGGTGAGCCTGAATTTTTAATGTATGCCGTTTTATATGTGAAAAATGATCCATTACAAATGTACTATTATGTGCACATTAGTTGAAACGCAAAATATAAACTTTTTATGTCTAACAGTTTAGCCGAAGATACGTCTAAAATGTTGTAGAAACAATATATTCTCACGATATAGGTAAACAGGTTATCCTTATAATTTCATTCAGAATCAACCCTCGGAACAATTCGACATCGATATCATAGTGTCTGTCGGGGGAGGTATGCGCCCGACAGCCCCAGTGTCAACTATCGACGCTCTTCAACTTGATCCAGGACTATTTGGCGCTGCCAGGGTAGCCTATTCTGTGGGCCATCTCCTAAAATTCTGCGTTGAGCAGGTATGCATGTTGGTTACCCGTCACCGTATCCCCCATAACCCATAATTCACTGTTAGACAGCATAATGAGAAAGTACCAATTCTAACGAAGCCCATTTTATTGTCGGCTCTTCACGCATGTTATCGCATGTGGTGGATTTTGTTATCCGCCAAAGATCGCTGAGCCCGACGGGCGACACGTTGACCGCGCTCGCGCCTGGTGCTACGGTCTTGGAGTACCTTATGCACGACTACAACCTGCGCTTAGTCAGTACGTCGCTGTCAACGAAAGCGATAACAAGGTCATCGCCAAAATGCTCTGGGAGACGATGGCGTACTTCAGGCAGCACTCGGATGAGCTTGCACTCATAGCGGATTTGCTTCGAAACGATAAGACATAACCCGCAACAAGTGACCATTGATTCTAGAATGGCTTGAAGCACGCTTTGTTTCAAATGTTGGTTCAGCATGTCGCGCCTCCGAAATTCGATAAACCTGCACAGTGTACGTCGTGTGGAAGGCCTAGCGAGTTATAAAGGGAGAGGGGAGGGGGGCGGGGGATAGTAATTAAAAGGATGTGTACCCCATATGCGTTAAGTAGTTTTGCATTGACAGGCTGAAGAACAACTGAGTTTTTCACGTTTCACACCTTCGTAACTGAATTTTAAATTGACGTGTGAATAGGAACGTTGGCGACGCAGTGCGGCTTGTCGCTGGGCAAATGCCCTGAAATATAGCAATAATAGGAAACAGGAGCGCAGCTGGCCTGCGTTTTTGTATTTTGGCTCGAACACATCGTATATATTAATTTGCGCTAGCGTGGCGATGACGTCAACGATACTTTATGAATAGTGTTTTTCCTACGTCGAATCAAATAAAAGTACTGATTCAGATATGGGCACATATCTTGTTTCAGGTACAAATCATTTTATTCCCGTTTAAAAAGATGTAAAATCAGACGTATTGACGAAGTATGCGGTTGTAACAGAAAACCGATAACCTGACAAAACGAGTCAAATTATTAGAGTTGTCAGAAAGAAACGATAGCTTGGCCATACACGGACCCATGGCATATCGGCTGCGATTAATTAACGACAAATTAGGTCTTAAGTTTCAAAAAACTCTAGGACATTTATATAAACATCAGCTATCTAGGCCTTACCTACTACAGCAACAGCCCTCGAGAACGGGTGACAATTATGATTATGAATTACGTTGGTGCTGAGCAGTCTTTCTACTCTAATAAAAATAATTTGGCGCTTATTCTCGAAAAATACGGATTAGGGAGGAATTGGGAAGTTAAAAATCGTTAGAGTCGCTTTAATAAATAATAATGATCCAATGTAAAATTAGTTTTTTCGTGTTTACGAACAATATGTGCGCATGTGTGCTACACATTGAGAATACAGAACAGCAACAAAATGACTGAGATCTATTTTCGGTGTATTTGTTAAAAATAATGCTCGAGTATTTTTTTTTTGTGGAAAAGATGCGACCCAATGAAAAAAAACACAACATTTACAAATAAAAAAAAGCGCCTCTTGGCCTAAAAAAAAACCTATCTTATCCTAGGTTCCGTCATACTTTGGTAAAGTGATAATGTTCATAGTATCTAAATTAACAGTTACTATAAACATGATTGTCACCATTAACACAGCTGTTAGAAATCCGGAAAAAATCTCGTATTCTAGACGCTGATCTATCTTTAGATTAGCCCGCGTCTAGTGCTCACACGAATGACTCTGTAAGTTAAGGTAGGTTATCTAAACACTGTTATAGGTGATAATAAGATGCAGGATAGAATAGAGGGTCTCGATAGATCGTAGAGTAGTATATCGTTTAACGTTGTCGTGCCTCAATGTCCTTGCGTTGTCCTTTGCCGGCTCAAAGTCTTTTTCTGCCAACCCGGTGGCTTGGACGGGTGAGATTCTGAGACTTCGTGAGCTTCTGCTGTAACCTTCTTTCTGGAATTTCAGTAGCTCATAGTAAAACACCCCCTTCTCATTCCACCGTATACAGAGGTACAGCTTTTGATCATGAATGTTTCTTCGTGGTGTCGAACCGGAGGTCATACCTATCCTGACTTGCGTTTAGAGATGTCGTAAACCATCCATTAAGCACTACCGGTAACAATATTGTATTTTTGTACGACCGTTTTGTTCTGTCGTGCGGGCAACGGACGGATATGGTTAGCGACGGTTTTCCTTTTGGATTTTTTTCTTTCTTAGTGCATGCAAACAAACCATTGATATCATCTAGGCAGCCCCAACCATTATACTCGAAAGAGTGCCTGCATCTCGTCGGGCTTCGCTTTTTGGGACCGTTCGAAACGTCGATTGTTGTTTACGTTGAAATTTCCAGCTATTAAAGCAGAACTGGTAGGTGGTTACAGTACGCATACAGTACGTTCGTTTTCGGCTCCGTAGCCATTTTCGTCCATCTCTTGACCATCGACATTTTTCCGGCAATGAAAAGCAAGTAGGACACATACGTGCATCTTTTCGTGCTCGAATCACCACTTTCAACGATAGTAGTACCTCAATGGAAACAATCATACGAAGCATTAGCTAGTTACCGTAAGCCGCTCCAATGCTAGCGCCATTTGTCAACTTAAGCGGTTAAGTGGTATAACACTGCTTATTATAGCTAAATGAAGCTCCGTGAAAAATAACCTAACCAGAAGCGCAAAAAACGCGTAGTGCACCGAAATCGTTTAGTCTAGGTATCTGGGATTAATTAAGATGCAAGGGTTGACGACCATGACGGATCTGGCATTCGTATTTGGAACAGTCTCTCGGCCATATCCCGATTCATAGTAGATTGACACTGTGTAGGCCCGTAGCGAGAAAATTATATATGTTATATGTGTATATTTAGCAAAAACAAAGGTAAACACTTCAGTGATTAACGTTGAGCAACGCTATATAGCTCAAGCAGTGACTTCGTTTTTGCGGTAATCAACAACTGCAGACTTGAATGTTAGCAATTGGAAAAATGTCTAATTTGTTATTATTACGATGTGCTTTATAATTAAACGTCGAAGAGGAACTTCGTAGTCGCTTATAGCCGAACTGCATGCTTCTACCTCTAACAATAAGTAACTGAAAAATTACCAAAAACGTTACAACATCGAAAACCGTGCCGGGCAAGCTCTATAAGAGGCTTCTACCTAACAAGCTGTCTTCCCAATGCGATAATCGAATTTACGCCACCGTATTTGCTATTTTGAACTGCTTCATTGCCAGAAACCTCGCCCATAGATGTTTTGACAATGCGGCCAGTTATTTACGAATTTATCAATAATAGCGCATTAACTTTTTATGTAAACGTGCCGTCTACAGTGTGAGTAGGCTGATCTAAGACATACAAACATAAAACGCCTTTTATGTTTGTATTCAGCTTCACACCAGCTTCAAAAGGAGGCTTAGTTATTGCTCCGTTTACTCATGCAGAACGTCATACTGAAGCGGCATGAGCAGCCTTTTTCTATTACGTTAACTTACATATGTTTGCACGGGGCGTTACTTGCGTCTCATCGAGTGATTGAACTAGCTGGACTATAGGCATCTTCTATCCCCCAAAGAGTTGTTTACGTCAAGGCAAGTTATATTAGAACGCCCAGCAGAAGAAGCAGCTGTTCCTCTGTACCGCCGTTTCCATGTCCCCATTTGAGCTAGTCGCTATCTAAGTATCATCAAACAAGATAGCTTATATAACAGATCTAAGTTATATTTGCTAAGCTAAGAGCGAAGTATATAAGGCCCTTCTTTAAGTTGCTATTGGCTTTCCCAGCACGGAAAAGGCCCTGAATGGCCAAGATACGAGTGGTCTATCGACGGCCTCAATGGAAGCGTTACTAAAGCGTTGAAGGAAATCTCGAACACGAAATGGAGCCATTAAGTCAAGACGAAAAACAAAAATGGACATTCTTTTGTGTTTCCCGCAGTCTGCTGATATAATACGCAGTTCCGTGTATCTGGTGAAAAAAGCTGTATGCTGTTTTTGAAACAAAAAAAAACGCTCCCCCTATTTAAAGCGAAATGTTTCGAATGTTATGTTCGGCATCGCTGTTAGGTATCTCATCAGGCGGGTAGTTTTCATGTTGGGACAAAATGAATCTACACTTGGATCCGAACCTGGACCATCACGTGACCCTACGCTAGCACGCAAACACGTTGGCCACCAATTCATCGGCAAAATGTTTCACATTTCATGCCGAGCACCACTGTTAGCAGCCATCTCATCAGACAGCCGGCTCCCGGGACGAAACAAAGAAGAAGTTACCACTAAACTTGAACGACATGTCCGTACCTCACGTGAAATAGTCCCCTACCGATGAAAGCTAGCATTTTTCTACGTAGCATACGGATCCAGCCATGTGCCAGAACGTGCGTTAACCTTTCGAAGGTTTGGGTATTGTAATTTTCGATCAGTCGTTTAGTAAACAAACTGATGTTTTTTGGCTTACCACCGTAATCGAACATGTAATCGAGGATAATGGATTATGCTATGCCGAAGTCCGATCGAGACCGTGTAACTAATAGGAATGACTTTTTTAAAACAAGATGTCCGCACAACCAATCACTTGAAACAAACCACCGGAAGTATGAACTCACTTAAAGGGTGATAGGAACTAATGAAAAAACAGAAGTAGCTTTCCATCGAGGTAAAGTTCTGTTTGTATGCATTATGTATTTGCTCAAAAAAACCGTTGGACTGCGTTCGAGGTGCTCTACCCAATCCATTATCTAGCCCCACCCTCGGCTATTTGTGTTCTCCATTGAACCCATTTAATTAGCTCATTCAGATTATTCTAGAATCTTGTATAGCGAACGCATCTAGAAAAATAATATTATAAGTTTACCCCATAACATGAAATAAACGTGACCATAAATGACCCAGCATTTGTCAGTGCTCTATGGTGACAAATTGTACTCGTAACGAGCATGCGTTTATCTAATGGTTCATTATATTATTATTGAGACATAACTAAAGACTGACAAGATACATTTCAGCGTCTTAACTCGTCTGAATAACCGAAATAGTACAGAAAAAAGTAGCGCAAATCTAGAATATAGAACATTGGTATTTATTAGGTATCTCAATGTAACTTAATGTATGCATCAGTTAGCGTTTTTTATGTGCGGAAAATACGAATTTGCTGATATCTTTGTCAGTCTTCAAGAACTTCTAGACCTTCGAACTTCGTTCCGGTTCTCGTTCTCGTCGGCTGGTTCAGTGTGCGGTATATGGTGAACTGGGGTCGATCCCCACACAATTCACCAAGTCTGTCAGATCAACCATGCATTAGGAGCAGGGTTTGCGTTCAAATAAGCACGGCAGTCCTTTAAATACCGTCGAACATTGATATACCCATAGAGGCTTGAGTCATTTTTACAACATAGTGTACATCTATCCCGCTCTGTATTTGACCCGCGTTAACAAGCGACCTAAAATTAAGTGTACGATTACTTCGCCCATAAGCTCTGTTACCGAAATTAGCATGGCATAGGTGCAAAGAAAAAGCGTCTATCGAAGATGGCGCAGTTTAACTTCGGCAGTCAACCTTGTATCTGATGCCCATGAGCATGATTCACTCATTTTACTCAACTAGGTACTTGCTTAGAGGAAAGATGGAACGTTTCTATCCGAGGTATAAGGGTATAAGCTGGTGCTCACGGTCTGCTAGAACTGGACTCGGTGACAAGCCACCAACGTTTAATTCTTTCTTTAGCTAAACATTTCGAAAATTTTTTTCGAGGCCTTTAAGGGTACTCCTAAGCGCGCAGTTATCATTTTGGGCTGTGGGTGACGCATCTCGGACTTCCTAGTAGTTTCCTCGTAGACTACGATGCGTCGGAGACGATGGGTGACGTACGGAAGAACGAAAGCTTTTGAAATAACTTTTTCACTAAAACCCTTTCGGGCTCAAGCAGTTCGGAGACTATCTTCATAGTCACTAATGATAACCCAGTTGAAAAGAATGATCAATAAGCCCAGTATTAGCATCCGTCGCGTCTTAAACACTCTCTGCAAATTAGGTAATGGCTGAACCGCGTATTTGGTCAGCTAATGAAAGGTAACTTCGCACGGAATTCCAGCCAGAAATTGCAGTAACAAGACACATTATAGAGAAAAGAAAGATACTTGATAATCTGTTAAGTGGCTTCAAAAGAGCTTTTTCCGAGGGTTCAACAACTGCAAGCGGTTTGAGGCAAAAAACTAGCACAGAATACGCCAACTCTTGACACGACATACTAGCATCTTTCAGATGGAGATTTTTGGCGTGCAAGACAATGATTCCTAAGCTCATCCGTGATATTTCTTGCGATATGTTGTTTGCCAGCAAGGTCACCTTTACCTTGACAGGCTGATTGTATGAGAATGAAAGCTTGGTGATCTTCTCGATTTTAGAAGGTGGATCCACCGGCATTAATTTGTTTGACCGAAATTTATATTCTTAACAATAATGTGGTCATATCT